CAGTGTCACACAGATCACCAGTGTAACACAAGGGATTGATCTGAATGATGACTCTGATAAACAAAAAATGATATTTGAGTTAGTTGTAGAATAAGGAGGATATAAAGGAAATGGAATTTTTTGCTCAGTTTGTGACCATATTTGTTTAGTCCCAGGAGGGTGATTAAGCTCTGGTCAGGCCAGAAATAGTTGCGTGGCATTGGGCAACAATCTGTGGAAGCACTTGCTTTGTATGGTGAAACTTTACAGGGTTTTAGTTGAATGACATACTCATGTTGGTTTAATCCATCCTAATCTACTGAATGATGCTTGGGTAGACCTTAGTATTAATAGCCTAAGCAAGCACTAGCACTAAAGAAATTGAAGCAATCCATTCTCTGTGAAATACAAAGTATGTCTAATAATTAAAGGTAAATTGTAGCATTGTCTCCTTTAGGAATTTAGCAATTTCTAAATTGTTAAATTGCAATGAGTTCCTGTGTTGCTATGTTTGTAAGCACAGCCTGAAGCCATGATTTCATGATCCTTTAGACTGGACTTGTGAACTGGTCATCACCTACCAGCACAGGCCTGATCCAGGTTGAACCTGCTGCAGAATTTATTGTGCATTTATGCAGGTCCTAGAAGGACAGGGGAAATCTCTTCCCAACTGAAGGCTAAAGCAGTGAGATGTATGGCACTAGAGATGACGTAAAGTGCAGTGGTACACAGTAAGCCCAGTAAAATCTTTCACTGTTTTGGAAGCAGCAGAATGAGTTCATGCAGTATCAGAATGTGACTGTGCAGCTTTGAGGTTTTTGCTGTAGACTTAGATGTCCTATCAACAGCTTTTCTGAATCATCATACCATGGCCTCCATTTATATTGCTGTTCACAGGACTTGATTTCTTGATATTTTATAAAGAAAGAACTCTGCTTGTGTTCAGTGGAGAGTTTTGAGCATTTGTGAGGCAGAGAATGGGGTTATTATAAGGCTGAGTGTGTAAAACAGGGGTTTTTACTTGCTGTGGTCTCTATTATTGGAGCACAAAACTTAGACACAGTATTCTCAAGGAGGGGGAGGATAGCTACATGATCTACAGAACAGCAGTTTCTCCCAACTTATTTGAAAGGCTAGAGATGATAATTAATGAAGAGAGAAACACTGAATTTTAATTGGACTGTAATTATAACACGGCAATTTATATTGTGAGACTTTCAAGATGGTTCAGCCCCTACAGTGTTTTGTTCCTCAAATAAATCTAGCTCTAAAAGTTAGAGGGAGATAAATAATTGGTTCTGAAATGTACTTATCATCAGTGGGTTGTGTGTGTGGTGCTAGTTATCATAATTTACCTAAGGGAAGCACCTCCATGTCAGATCTGATAGACTGGAGACCAGGCAAGTTAGGGTATTTGCTAATAAGCAGTCAGAGCTGATGCCAGAGCAGTACTGGGTTTATCAGAAGGCAGGAGACATACCATCTGGTATTCAGCCATGTTCTGAGACACATGGAGAATGACCCCCAAAATTGCTAAGAATATGAGTGGGACAGACGCAGGGATTTCCTTCCCTGAAATGTTACAAACTCCATCTAAAGACGACTTCAGTCTGTGTAAATTCAGATTAGCCAAGAAAAAAGGAAGGAAGCTGATGTGGTTCTGCAGAAAGTGACCTTCTTAATTAGGCTTTAAATGTCAAGAAATGATGAATCGAATCTCTTCACCTTCTTTGGATCATTGTTTTAGCAGCATGCAAGGTGGTGGATTTTTACTTCTGCAAAAAGGTTTCTGAACTTATGAATGGGAAAATATAAAAAATGTCCACTGCAGGGTTGGCTCAACAGATAATATGCTTATTTCAAATATTGAACCCTTTGAAGATCTTGATCTCAACTTCTCTTATGAGATCTCTGATTTTTCTTGCTTCCAACTGAGCTAGAAATGTCAGAAGGGCAGGTTTTCCTGTGGTGTAGAAGAAAGACAAAAACTGTGCTACTGCTTGCTCCTATCATTATTTATAAAATTCCATCTGCAAATGCTGCTTTACCTCAAATAAAGACAGTCTCCAGAAGAAAAATAAAAAGATGGCCAGCTGGTCACAGTAGGGGTCAGCATTAAGGATTCCTGCAGGAGCAAGGTACAAACAATTACCTGGCCTCAAGTAAAATAAAAGTCCCAAGAAAAATAATAATAACAAAGTCCATAATCCAAGTTGAATTATGAAATGGGTCGGGTCGGGTCCAGAAGGCTACTTGCAGCCAGCTCATTACCAGGCCTCCTATCTCCCACAGGAAATTTCTCTTGTTTGCTGAGGTTTCAACCCTGAGATTACAAATAATGGAGAAAAGTAAATATGTTGAGCAGGGCTTTTTAACCCTAGCTTGTAAAAGCATGTTGAGGAGGTGGAATTCTATCACTAAAAATCTTTTGGAGAAGGTTAGAAAAAAATCTGTTAGGAATGGATCTTCCTTGGGAAAAAAAGAGGCTAAACTAGGTAACTTGTGAAGAATGTTCTAGACCTGCTTAACTATATTTTGCGCTCAATCAAAGCTTTGCCACTTCATAGCCTGTATTTTAGATGTAAGCATTATTTTCCACCAGCAATTGATAGTGAAGGGATTTCTGGCTGCGCTTTTCTGGAAAAATATTGTGATTTAGTCTGGGGAAGTTCTCAAAAGGAGTTGGGAGAAAAAAAGGAAATATCTACAAATGCCTCAAGATCAATTAAAAAAAAAGTCATTTTAAATTCTTGCCCAGTTAGAAATAGAAGAAACATTCAGGAAAGACCTCTTCTCTCTTCACACACACGCACAAACTTCTACCACTAATTCTGCATTAGCCATTTCTGTTTCACACAGAGAAATATCCCATTAGGAATCATTGCACATATCAGGAGGTGAAACTTTGGGTATATGGAGAGCAATATAGGTGGCTATTGCAACTGTTATTTCGAACAGTTGCATTTTCTTATTATTCTTGTGGAAGCTAATCATCTCAGTATAATGTGGAAGTCAGAGGTGTCTTTTCTGTGCAAGAATTGAGAATATCAGAATTGACTGACATTTGGTGGAAGGAATAAAGAACAGAACACGAATCTCTCAGAGCTGGAGCCTTTAACTCAAAAAATCAGAGATTTTAGGAAAGAAAAATATGTTTCTTTCGTTATGCTTGATTAGGATTTCCTTTCTTGTAAGGTGACAGAGGGGGGTTGATGTATATTGTTTTGTCTGGGAAGGGGTTCTGCCTTTTCTGTATCTGCAACAACAAAATTGAAAATTATTTCAATTTACCAGGGAGAACTTAATGAACTAAAACTGCATGAACATGCCGTTTCCAACAAAGACTTCTGTTTGTTTGTTTTGTTCATGGTGTCATGAAGCTATCTCTGTTCTGGAAACTATCAAGGCTATGCAATTTGGCTGCTGGTAGAAGAATTTTCTCTTGTTATGTTTCTTTTCTCTCATGTAGAAGCATTTAAATTATTGAAATTAGTAAGAATGCTTTAGTTTACTTCTTCAGATGTACCAGTTAACAACAACTCAATTTGCAATTGCCAGTCATGTTTAGCAGAGAGATTTGCTTTACCAGACCATGCTACACGACCAGTTCCTCTTCGTATTCTTGTTGCCATTGGTATTCTTAGCACTTCTATAGGATTTAAACAGGCACTGACGCTCTGATATCTAGATGGCTTTTCAATGAAAAGACAAAGCTTAATTAGACTGCAAGTTGCAGCAGCATGTATTCCACAGTGCTCCACAGCAGGTGACACAGTGCCTCAAACAGCTCTGAGGCTCTAGATGAAAATTAGGAAAAATTTGAGCTCACGCTATCTTTTGTAATAACAATAAGCACACAACAACTACATGCTGTACAGCCAAGTTTACCACATTCTCTCTTACTAGGACTTTCAGTAATGATATGCAAGAATTGGACTAGGTTGGATACTCTGAACTCGGCTAGTCCTGGGAAAACCATCAGCTCACTGAAACACAGATTAAAGTGCTCTAAAACAGGCCACATGGCTAAGTGGAGCTAGATTTGGGGATGCGCTGTGAGCCAGTAACCCCTGGAGTCTGTACCTGGGGAGATTAAAGCCTTGATTAGCGTGGTAAAACAAGATAATAGGATTGCCAGAGGATATTACTAATTAATCCAAAAATACGGCTGGCAGGTGGTATAAAATCAAGTCTTTAAAAAATATTTGACTAGTGGGTTGACTTAGACTGATGAGAGTAAATACCCTTAATACAGAGGGAAAGCTAGGACAGGGAAGGCGAGTATGATTTGGAGTTGGATAATAGATGTCTGAAGTCACACCACTGCTAACATGGCCTTAAACTTTAATCTCTCCTTATCTCCCTGCCTTTAATCATCTCCATCATAAAAATGCAGAAGTTTTATACTATTAAGGTCTGCAATGGTTATAAACATGGGAGTAGAGCTACTTGTAAGCTAAAATAATCATTTTGGTTATTACAGAATAATATTGAACACCTGTCAAAATGCATATACACATAAATAATAGTACACATATGCATATATGATGCAGTTACTCATCAGGATTAGTTGTTCAGGTTTTTGGTTTTAGGATGCTTCTTAATGTTGCTTCTTATTCTTTAAAATTCTACAACAACTTGTTGGAAAATTGTCAGCATCTTTGGCTATTTTAATGAGCATAGCACATATGGAGAATCTAATATGCTGCACTTTCATGCAGGAAGAGAAAGCCAGCGGTAAAACCCAATACCATGGCAACTTTCTAGCAACAGAATATCAGCAAGCGTTTTCCAGGATTTTTCTAGAGTTCTGAAATGGTTAGTTAAGGAAAAATCTCCTCATGGCAGTGAGAATTTTTCTGCTTACTTCCTGCAGATACAATTTCTTAGTAAAATATTGGTCTTTTCTGAAAGGATTTTTCTTGACAACATGGCTATGAGAAATTGATAGTCTGCCTATTCCTACTAAAACGTCATGGAATACTGGATTTGTTTTAGTGTTCAAACTTAAATGAAGTGAGGTTATTCTCTGGAATTTTAGTGACAGTATTTCAGACATCTTTCTTTTTACTATTACATTCCCGAGAAAACATCTTAGTGTCAACTTTATTGAGGGCTTTGGCATCTTCAAGAAAATTTCTTGTAGAAATGCAGGTAAGGAAGACTTGGGCATAGGAAGTTGTTTTATAAGAGATTATGTTAATGTACTGAAGCTGCTCTATAACTCAGATGATCATGATGACTCTTAGTTTAGAAATGAAAAAAAAAAATCTATTTTTTGAGTTGTTCAGCTTGCTACCATGAGGTTTTTAGGAGGGGGGGGGTTGTTTGATTATTTTGTTTGTTTGTTTGTTTTAAATATTCTTTTGGTTTTGTAATGAAATGCAAGATTAACTTGCAGTAATAACTTTATAGTAGTAATAAGTGCTGATATTGGTTTGCCGTAGGCAGGAACAGACAGTGTGCGTTGCCAGAATCGGGAACCCTAAATGCGAATCATACAAATTTGGGAGTGCTTGAGAACAGAAATAATAATGTAAAACTGAAGATATAAAAAAGAAGATACAAAGACATGCATGGGGTAAAAAAATTTAAAGCTTTCCTCAAGGCAATGCTTTTTTCAGAACACTTTCTTGCTGTGCCAGGCTGTGCTAAAAGTAAAGAAGAATTTATGTCAAAACCATGATGGAAAACTGCTTTGATTTTAATAATAAAAGAAGTTTTGTCTCATTCTTTGCTGAAGTAGGTCCATAATAACTCGGAATAATTTGAGGGGCAGATCAGAATCAAGGTTAGTAAAAGGATATGAAATATCATCTGAATCACTTCTCATCTCTCAGTCCAAGCTCACAGTTTCTATGGCTGTTACGTATTTCCCAGATCTGACTCTGGGCTTGTGTATTACTGGAATGTAGGGAACTGATGCCTCTTGGATGAAGGAAAAGGGACTTTATTATGTTATACTACTGTTGTTTGGGCTGGACTATACAGACTGCAAATTAATTAAGTAAGAGCATAACCAGTTTGGCACTAAGTTAGGTGTCCTCACAGGAGCACAGTCAGCTTCCAAACAGATTGTTTCTGCCCCCAGAAGCTGTGTTTCCAGGTATAGCACAGAAATCAGCATATTGGTGGGGTTTGTTTTGGGTTTTTTTTTGAGTACTAGTGCATTCAGCTTGTTATAAAGCACTGCTATGAGTTAATATTCTTGGAATTTAGTTTAAGATGCTGGTCTTGGCAGAAACTGTTGCTATGCAAATAATATCCTCCAGATATGAAGTGTATTATAGAAATAATAAAGAATGCATCTATATGAGTGTAGATAGAACATACAAAATAATCTCTGCCATGTCTTTTAATAATAAGAACCATAAAATAGAAATAAAAATTTTGACATAATGCGTACATCATGGAGAGCTCATAAAGTTTTGACCATGCCCAAATTTTGAAAAGGGATGTTTCATGATGCCATTCCTGCAATAAGTTCCCTGTACAACAATGAAAATTATTTAGGGGTGGATTCACCTATAGAGTGCGTGCACTTGTACTATGTGGCACAAGGAGAAGTGAGGAAAGAGAGACTTGTGCACCCACGTGCTGTGAATATCTCAGTGGCATGGTATTTGCCCATACTGAGTCAGAAAGATGTGAAAACCCTAAGTCTAGGAAATATGAGTGAGATTTTCTCTATTTCAAGATCATTTTAATGTAATTTGGAAACTGAAAAATGAAACTTTTCTTATTTGTTTATATTGAAAGAGGGATACGTTCTTCAGTGACAGATTTTGTCTCAAAATAAAGAAAAGCAAGGATTCTGAAAATATATACACAATAGCAAGCAACTTTGAAATCTTCAGAGCTCCTATTGCAACATCTGAAAAATCTGACCTCTTTTTGCAGCATTTTACTGTATTGTACTTTTGTTTGTACTTTTTGTACAAAAAAACCACCCTTACATTGTAAGTCTTGAGCCCCAATCATGGTTCAGCAAATTATGGTGCTGTGCACCCTGTACTATGCAAAGAAGTCTCAGGTCAAATCAGGATGCAGTTTTTAGGCAATAGGGATAAACATGGTAGAGGCTGTCAGGATACAGCAGAAGTGAAACGAAGGGAGTTCAGTGAAAAATGCACAGTCACAGCTCACAACTTGCTTAAATACCAGCCACATCATTACCACTCGCAGGACTGACCCAGCAAAGAATGAGGATCCTTACCACCTTGCAGCCTCTGGTTTGTAAGTGGTGACTGAGAAATCTTTTTAAGAAGGCTGATTAGATGAAGACGCCAAAACAATCCACCCCCAAAACTGCTCAGCAGCATTATTTAGTTATTTTAGAAAGTTTTGCCAGGTCCTTCAATGGATTTTTGAATTTGACCCGCAATTAAAGGTAACAGCTCATGATGCACTTTATACAAAATGCTGGATCCTGACCAAAGGTGCTCGTCAGCCATGACCTGGAACATACTCTTGTCTCCTGCCTTAAGATGGTTTTATTCCTCTTCACATCGTAATTGTAAACTTTTCCATTTGTTTCAGCCTGCTTTTTTTCTTTTTTCTTTTGAGCAAAATGGAAAGTTCAGTAGTTGTAACTCAGTAAACACATTTTTTATGCAAAGCTTTTATATCTACCCTAGAAAGCTCTCATTTGTTTCTTTCTTCTGTAGGCATGAAAGATTGTTTATTAAATATAATAATAATAATAATAAAGTAGAGATAAGCTTTCTTACCTGGCATTACTTCAGATTCCAGCGTGTTTTTCCCCAGCCTCACTTCATTATAGCTCTATTTGGTAGTGCATAACCAGCATGTGTCACACTGAATGAAGGCTGGCTTCAGAATAACATGTCAGTAAGATGATTGCTCTTGGAACACATAGTGCCCTTACTCTATAATTAAATGCAAAACCTCTGTGGAAAAAAATGATGTTAAAAGTCTTAGCTTATGCTCACCAGAGACTAGTAGTGCAGAGACAAATGCCGTCATACTAACCTTAATTGCTTCTTCTGTGTCTAGTTGCGGGAGTTTTGGCACCGTGATACTCCTGCTGGGGATTATTAAGCCATGGACTGAAGTGGATGTGGGGGTGAAGTGGTGCAGCCAGAGCTTGGCCCGCCAGGGAAACAATGCTGGCCTCCTGGCTCTTTGGAGGACGATGGCATGGAGGAAGGGACAACTGTGCCACTTGTGGAGGGGCAAATCTGACTCCTAAGACTCTCTATTGCTCCCCCTTCATCTCTCTGGGTCTTTCTCCTCTGCCTTCCCTAAGCGGGAGCGCACAGCGTCCATCCAGCCTTCTCTCCTTGGAGCAGCCATGCTCACTTGTGCCCCCCTGGCTAAGGGAGGGGGAGAAACCCCAGTGCCATGGGTATGGCACCAGACTAGGGTGTGCTGGCAGGTTTGAATGCTTTGAAGGGCATGAAATTTTAATCTGACCTTTTTTTTTTTTTTTTCTTTTTCATGCAACTTTTATGGTGGTCAAAATTTCAAAATTCAAAAATGAGAAAAATGTAATAAAAATGTCATCTTCCATTTTCTATTTGTCAGTAATGAAATACCTTCCTGTTCAACTGAATTTTAAATGGACAAAGCTTTAAGGGACAAAACTCTAATAATTTCATTATCTTTAAGGATAGCAAAGCCTCAGATTCTTAGAACAGCATTTTTAGAGAAGTGCATTGGGAGAATGTTGTTCTGAGATAGGAAGAAAAAAGGAGGGGGCCGTGCCAGGACTGTTGGTTGTCAGTGCTGTCCATCTCCTACATATTTTATGTAGTTCATTTCAGGTATGCTGAAAAATACCCTAACGGAATCAGTCCACTTTCAAGCTACATGCAGAATATATTGTAGTATTCTCCAAGTTAAGTGTGTTTTAGGAGAGCTTGGAATTTTCTGAGTTTCTTTAGATTTTCTTGAAGAAACCTGAGAAGAGGTAAATAATTTTAAATAGTGGTTTCTTGGTTTTTTGAGTTTTTCAGTCAGTACATCATGAACACTTAGATAAGTGAACTGGCTTTTGACAAAGAGAACAGAACGAAATTTTTTTAAAAAAATTAAAAATGTATCACGTTTTTCTCTTTTCAAGTTTCTCTTGACTGACCCCTGACCTTCTTACCAGAAGTGAACAAATTTTGTGTTCTAGGACAGTTTGTAGACTTTCAGACCAGAAGTTTCTATCTTTCTTTCCCTGTAATGTCCCATTTTTCTCTTGTAAAGTTATGTTCATCTCTACCAGTCCTTCCATTTACTCAGTTCTCATAAGTCGTAGCCACATCATACTTCAAATCAGTCCAGCATTTCAAGAGAGTAAGGTGCAAGCTCCTTAGACAGCCGACAGTATCTGTTTGTCTGATATACTATGTGTCCTCTCTTGAACTGGCTCTACAATTTCCATAGCCATATTTTTTTCTGTCTCCTGAGACAAGACATTCAGTATTGATCTTGTCCCTGTCTTCTTTCTTCATACACAACTTTCAGTTTTCAGAAAGACCATCTCAGTCATCTGTCATTTGGAGGAGACCACTTGATTTCCTTCTTGACTTAGCTTTATAGTTACACAGTAATAAACTGAACAGCAAAAGTAGTCACCTCAGTCACCACCTTAGTCAAGACCAAGACCCTCTGAGATGTTCAGTGGGAAGTTTTTCTCATCTTAACTTTAAAGTCTTGAATTTCTGCTTTTTGATATTTTAAGTTGAGGAAGTCTAGTTTTCTACCAGGTTCAGCTCATAAAAGAATGACGTACACTACTGAAGCATGCAGTCAGTAGGAAATGAGTGGCTTTTATCAACTGATTTTTTTGGTTGATGAAAATATCAATGAAAAAGGAAGTGTGAATTTTGGCTGTCCTTCAATGCTATCAGTATTCATGTCAGTTTTGACATTAAAATACTCTAAATGCCCAAGAAAATGTTCTGGTAGACACCAAGCAAATGCTCTGAAAATTTCTGTGACATTGCCAGCTCCTCACATCTCTGCAGAAACCTGAAGTAAAGTTGTGAGAATGGATGCGCTCTGTCAGTCTTCTTGAGCAGGCTAGGTAAACCTTAAGTGTCAAATTTTGCCTGGTCCTGAAATTGTTTTTCACCTGTAGGAGATATTGCAATTGATGGTCTTTTAAAACTTTAGCAAAGGTATTTTTTTTTTTTTACCAC